CGCGGTGTTGGCATCCTGCTGCCTGACGTGTAACTATAAAGTGGAAGTGTTTTTTACGTGAATGGCACAGGTGGATTTTACTGTGTGCAAACCCCCCCCCGCTCCCCCGTTCCCCCCCTCTCGCAACCATCGCGCCGTCCGGCCCCCCCATGTCCCCGAAGCCCGGAAACCCATAACTTTTCAATTAAATGTTTTTTCTGGGAAAGACCCCCTTCGTAAAACTTAAAGAAGAAATTTTTTTTATGGCGCCAAAAAAGAAACAAATGGGGAAAATTTGCCTAGGCAAAAATAAGGGTTTGGGGCCAATGGCAAAAAATATTAATTTTTTTTTGTCCCCCCCCCCCTTTGAGGGCCCCCCCTCCCGCCGCCCGCTTTTTTGGGGGTGAATGGGGGGGGGGAGGGGAAAAAGGGAGGGGGAAGAAAGGATGAGAATAGGAGAGGGGAGAAGGAAGTGGAGGGAGGAAGAGCGGAGGATACGGAGGGAAGAAGGAGGGGAGGAAGGGAGGGAACGGAGAGAAGGAAGGCAGGGAGGAAAGCGGAGGGAAAGAAGGAGCGAAGGAGGGAGGAAGCGGAGGGAAAGAAAGGGAGGGCGAAGAAAGGAGAACGGAAAATGGGAGGGGAGGGAAGGGAAGGAGGAGGAAGCAGAAGGAAGAAGGGAGCGAAGGAGGAGGAAGGAATGGAGAAGGGAGAAAGAAGGAAGGAGGGAAAAGGATGAGGTTTCGTCCCTATTCAGAGAAATAAAAGTGTCGCGGCAGAGTCGTGGTCCCTGACGAGTCTCTGACATGTCCCTGAAGTAATAACCTTCTCTCGTCAGATGTCTACGGTGATTGTCGCTCTAAGGAAGGGACTCTTAGCTATCTATTAATAAAATATTTAATTAATTAAAATAGTGACTTATTCAGTGAGTGAGTGTAAGAATGTCTGTGTGTATGTATGTGTGAAATAGAGAGATAGTATGTGAGTATGTGTGAAAGAGAGAGAGAGAGAGGAGAGAGAAGAGAGAGAGAGAAGAGAGAGAGAGAGGAGAGAGGAGAGAGAGAGAGAGAAAGAGAGAGAGACAGAGATAAGAGGAGAGAGAGAGGAAGAAAGAAAGAGAGAGACTGAAAAAAAAGACAAAGACAAGAAAAAAAAGACCAAGAAAGAACCCCAGAAAGAAAGAAAGAGAAAAGAGAAAGAGAAAGATAGAAAAAACAACCCGCAAAAATCGTTCCATGGCGGATTCCAAAATGGCGGCGGGTGTCGAGGCGGGCATTCCAAAGTCATTCAAAAACACCTGGGCTGTATTAGAGCCAGATACAATCAGAAAATTATAGGGCAGGTAATTGGAAATAAGCATTAAGGAGATGTAAAACCAAAGTTAATTTGAAGTAAGCTATGTAAACGATTTGAGCAGCACGTCGCTCTCTCGGGAACGCGACGGAGGAATCTGCGCGGCTGCCTCGTAAATCGGAAAATGAAAATAAAAGAAAAAAAATGAAGTAAAAAAAAAAAAAATGCCAAAAAAAATATATATAACACGAGATTTCTCTGCATGATGACGTTTTGCCGGGGGAGGAGGTAGGGGGTAAGGGGGGGCGGGTAGAGAGGTGGAAGGGGGGGTAGATGGGGGGATAGAGAGGTGGTGTGGGGTGGGTGGGGGGGGGTAGGGTCGGGCTTAACAAAGCGTCAAGTATAAATGAGAAAGGCCAAATAAACACGGCGATGTTGCCATTTTAGCGGTTGCAAATGCAGGGACATAATCTGTACAATAAAATAACAAATTTCGGCCCTCCTGACATCTATCTCCTTTCAGATTTACGTAAACATGGAAGATCATTTGCCAAGGTAATGGGATATGCATATCTTATACACTGGGTTATGCAAGTAGTTAATAACAAAAAATAAAATAAAACAATAATAAAATAAAATAAATAAATAATTAAAACAAATAAGATACAAACGGAGTACCACCATTAAAACAAAACCACCTCTACATAACACCCCAACAAAACCACAGACAAACAGACTAACCCAATCATCAAAACGCGTAAAGATAATGGGGGAAAAAAAAGCTACAGAAACCCCTCACACACACGTCCTCTGAATGTGATCTATGGTAATGAACGTAGGTGTTCTGACAGGTGAGTGACAGGTACGGTGAGGCCAAAGGACGGAGACATTTGACATTGGCGAGAATTAATCATGATCTTTCGGTACAGGTTGTGGGGTTTCTGGGTATGCTGTTGGGGTATGTGGCTGTGTGCTGGTTGTGGCTGTGCTTGTGTGAGTAAGTAAGTGTGTGTAAGTATGTGTGTGTAAGTATGTGTGTAAGTATGTGCGTGTGTGTGTGTGTGTAAGTATGTGTGTGTGTGGTGTGTGTAAGTATGTGTGTGTGTGTGTGTGTGTGTGTAAGTATGTGTGTGTAAGTATGTGTGGTGTGTGTGTGTGTGTGTGTGTGTGTGTGTGTGTGTGTGTGTGTGTGTGTGTGTGTGTGTGTGTGTGTGTGTGTGTGTGTGTGTGTGTGTGTGTGTGTGTGTAAGAGAGAGAGAGCGAGAGCGAGAGAGGTAGAGAGAGAGAGAGAGAGAGAGAGAGAGAGAGAGGAGAGAGAGAGAGAGAGAGGAGAGAGAGAGAGAGAGAGAGAGAGAGAGAGAGAGAGAGAGAGAGGAGAGAGAGAGAAAGAAGAGAGAGAAGAGAGAGAGAGAGAGAGAGAGAAGAGAGAGAGTGGGTTAGAGATTTAGAATAGATAGATAGATAGATAGACAGATAGATAGATAGATAGATGATAGATAGAGGGTGGGTTAGAGATAGATAGATAGATAGATAGATAGATAGAATAGATAGAGAGAGTGGCTTAGAGATAGATAGAAGAGAGAGAGAGAGAGAGATATCGCGCAAGTGTGTATTCATCCAGGGCATATATATATACATACCACCGGTACATAATCAGAATCACATGTATATCTACAAAACATTTTTTCTCGCCCGTTTCCATTAAACCCCCGCAGCCAACCCAACCCCCAACCCCAACAACCCCCACCCCACCCACCCCCAAACCCCCGACCCCCCCTCCCCCCACCCCCACTCCCCATCGCCCCATCCATAATTACAGCGTATCTCCTCGCCACGAAAGGACACTCCACGCTCCTGTCCAATTACGGAACGAGGCATTTTCCCCCCAACGGCCCAACGGAACGCCGTACGTAACGAGCGCTCCGCCGACTACTAATTAGAGCATCGTTAATTGACTTCGCTAAGTAAGAGGAAGCTCATCATACCGCACGCGTATGCATTCACCTCCTCAATAAAACTTCTTCATAACAACTCGCTACAAAGAACCTTTAATTAATTAATGAATATCGAGGCACATCAGCCACTGCATTAACTTATCCATTCGATCATAATTACATGAATACATTATCAACATGAGTGAAGTAAATTGGGAAAGAAAAACAAAACGATTAGAAAAAAAAATACGAAAAAAAACAAAAGATTTGAAAATTAAAAAAACAAAAAGATTAGAAAAAAAAAACAAAATTAATAAGAAAACAAAACAAAACGGATTAGAAAAAAAAAAACTAAAACAAAAAGATTAGGAAAAAAAAAAACAAAAAAAACAAACGATTAGAAAAAAATAAAAAGATTAGAAAAACAAAAAACAAAAAAGATTAGAAAAAAAACGATTAACAAAAACAAAAACAAAAAAGATTAGAAAAAACAAAAAGATTAGAAAAAACAAAAACAAAAAGATTAGAAAAAACAAAACAAAAAACAAAAAGATTAAAAATTAAAAAGAACAAAAGAGAAAACAAGATAAAATATAAGACTTTAAACGTCAACATTTTAATGCAGTTGAATAATTGTAAACAAAAATATAAAATGCACATCCGGTTGTATCAATATGCTAATGCAGGATTGCAGATTCGATCTCAAATTCCGGCGCTCGGAAGTCGAAAATGCTCCATAAGGAAAGAGAATGAGCTCGTCATAATTATATCAATTACAAATTTAAAATAATTGCTCTCATTACTGTCATCGCTATATATCATTTCTGCGATTTTTATTAGAGCGAATTATATCCGATTTTCCGCCTGCCTTTTAGCAAAATTTTCACCGGGATTACAAACTGGCTGCGGCGCTGCATCCGACACCAAAATCCCCGCTTTCTCACCCTCCAATCACGCTGAATCGCCGTCCAATTATCATCCAATCTTAGAATATAAACATCGAATCACCGGGAGTCATCACAATCAACAATCAATCACATATCGCTAACATGAACCCACAATATCACAAATCCACTACCACATACCACAACAACCAACACATAGCACCACTACCACGAACCACCGGCATCACACCATCCACTACCACATACACCACTACTGAACCACCACAACCACCCCATCCACTACCACAACCAACCCACACTCAACCACCGTTCAAATCACCCATCCACTACCACAACCAACCCACACCTGAACCACCACAACCACCCAAAATCCACTAACCACAACCCCCCACTCAACCACCGCAATCACCCATGCACTACCACAACCACACCACAACTGACCACCACAACCCCATCCACTACCACAACCACCCACACTCAACCACCACAAACCACCCATGCCACTACCACAAGGAACCACCCACATTAACACACCACAACAACTCTCGACACGGTCAACGCACCACAACCACCCATCCATCTACCAACAAACCATCCCACATCAAAGACCAACCACAATCACCCCCATACCACTACCCAAACCACCACACTTAACCACCACAACCACCAGGGGGTCCACTTCATGCGCCACCACACCACCATCCCACCACAAACCAACCTCCACTCAACCACCACAAACCACCATCCACTACCACAACGCACCCAACTCAACCACCGCAAAATCACCCATCCACTCCACAACACCCACGACTTAA